GGAGAAGGAATCAAAAGCAGGCTATATGAAGCTGAGGACCAAATCAGTGAGCTGGAGGACAAGGTAGAAAAAAGCTCCCAGAAAGAGCAAGAATATGAACAAAGACTAAAAAAGAATGAAGATGCGTTGAGGGAAATGCAGGAAAACCTGAAACATAGTAATATCCGTATAATAGGGATACCAGAAGGAGAAGAAGAGGAGCAAGGGATAGAGAACCTGTATGAAAAAGTAATGATGGAAAACTTCCCTCACTGGAGGAGAGAAAAAGTCACACAAGTCCAGGAAGCACAGAGGATCCCATTCAAGGGGAACCCAATGAGCCCATCCAAGACATATCATCATTAATACATGATGTGGCAAATACCAAAGACCAACAGAGAATCTTAAAGCAAGCAAGGGAGAAAGAGGCAGTAACGTATAAGGGAGCCCCAATATGGTTAGCAGATGACTTCTCAACAGAGACACTGCAACCTAGAAGAGAGTGGCAAGAAATATTCCCAGTAATGAAAAGCAAAGGCCTGCAACCAAGACTGCTCTACCCAGCAAGGCTCTCAATTAAAATGGAAGGTGAAATAAGAAGATTTCCAGACAAAAGAAGGCTAAAAGACTACACCTCCACTAAACCAGCACCGGAAAAATATGCTAAAGAGACTGCTTTAACATGAAGAAAAAGTTTCTATGAATACCCAGTTCTTTTCAGAGTTGCCAATACTTGATATTACCAATATTTTTAATACTCATTAATCTGATTGTGACAATGATGTTATTTTAATTGTTCCTTTACTATTTGCTGAAACTAAACCTGTTTTGGTATATTTCTTGCCCCCCCCCCTTTTTTAAAAAGCTTTAAATGACTTTTTGGTTCTTTATCCATTTATTGATTAAAGATTTGTAGAACTTTTTTCCCTAAAAAAAATAAACCTATTAACCATGATTTAGATGTGTTGCAAATACTTTTCTGTTCTATTCCTTGTACTTTAACTTTTTTTATATGTATATCACTATATAGTTAAATGTTTAATATAGTCATATTGTCAATATTTACTTTATAGCTTCTGGGTTTGAATATTTTACTTCAGGTTGTGAAAAATATTAGTTTTTATTTTCTTCTAAAACTCCTTAGGTTCTACATATTGATTTTTATCTCACCTGAATATTTCTTGTATAATGTGTGAAATAGGGCTATATGTTTGTTTTATTTCAAGTAATAGTGGTCCATGCACCTTACTTGTTGAATAAGCCTTATTTTACCCATTGATTTGAAATATCAACTTAATCATATATTTTATTGTTAGACAGATATATATGTTTGTCTCTAGAATGATCATTATATTTCATTGATCTACCTGATTATTTCTGTACTGGTGTCATGTTGGTTTAATTGCTGAGATTTTATAATGGTTTTAAATTTTTTAAATATTTTATAATTAACTTTGACATTTAAAAAAATAAAATCAATCTGCATTTAAGAAAGAAAGAGAGATGGAACTCTTATCTTTTGCAACAACATGGATGGAAGTAGAGAATATTAAGCTAAATGAAATAAGCTAGTTGATGAAAGATAAATACCGTACGATCTCACCTATAAGTGGACTCTATTCAACCAAATAAACTAACGAACAAAATAAACCACAGGCATGGAAACATGGAGCAGACTGAAAGTCACCAGAGGGGATGGGGAAAGAGGACAATGGTGGAAAGAAGGGGAAAGGACTAGACAGAGAACATGTATGAATGATCCATGGACATGGACAACAGAGTGGGAACTGATTGTGGAAGTGGGGGGGTGGGGGTGGGATGAGCGGAGAGGGGTAAAGGGGTAAAAATTGAGACAACTGTAATAGAATAAACATGATTTATAAATTAAAAGTAATAATAATAAAAAAATCGATGACAAAAAAATTAAAAAATTAAAAAAATAAATTAAAAAAACTGACCTAAATATATGCTGTCTTTAAAAAAAGACACTTAAAATATAAGCATGTAAGTGTAAAATAAAGGAGAAAGATACATAATACAAACGTCACTCAAAAGAATGCAGGAGGGACTATATTAATATCAGATTAAGTAGATTTCATAGCAAAGAATATGACCAGAGATTGAGAGGAACATTATATGATACAAGGATCAATCCACCAAGAAAACTTAGCAATTTTTAATGTATTATGCACCAAATAATCAGTGCTGTAAAACAGAAGAAAGAAAAACTGATTGGACAGAAAAAAAAACAACCAAAACTACTCCCCAATTACAGCTGGAGTCTTCAACCTCTCTCGGTAATTGACAGAAGAGACAGAAAATCTTCAAGGATATAGAAGAACTCAACACTATCAACTAACAGGATCAAATTAACATGTACAGAACACTCCACCCAACAACAGCATACACATTGCTTTCAAGCACCCATAAATATGTACCATGATAGACCATATTCTGATCCATAAAATAAACTTTAAAAAATTTAAACAAATTGGAATAATACAGAATTGGAATAATAATGTGCTCTCTAATTAAAATGGAATCAAAACAGAAATTGTTAATGAAAAGATGACAAGAAAATATCCACATACTTCAAAAATAAAAACCGTATTTCTACAAAAAAAAAAAGGTCTCAAGGGGAAAAAAGATAGTGAAAGATGAAGTCTTAAGGGGAAAAAACATTACAGTAAATGAAAATGATATTATAGCATATCAAAATTGTGGGATACAGCTAATGCAGTGTTGAGAAGGAAATTTTAACACTAAATTCTTACACTGGAAAAGAAAGTCTCAAACCAACAAGCTAATAAGCCCCCAACTCAAGAAACTAGTTAAAGAGCAGCAAAATAAACCCAAAGCAAGCAGAAGAACTGAAATAATAGGTAAGAGCAAAAATAAATTAAAAATAGAAAAGAATGAAACAAAAAGATGCTTTGGTAAAGTGGTGAATAAAATTGACCAACCTGAACAAATAGAAAAGGTGACAAAAATTACCAATATCAGGAATAAAAGAAGAGATACTATCATTTCATTTGCTTCAAGTGTGTTCATAATTGCTCAGTGAAGCATTTTTATAATGGCTGATTTTAAATCTTTGTTAGACAATTCTAATATCTCTGTCATCTTGGTACTGGCATTTACTGTCTCTGATCAAGTTGAGACCCTCCTGGATCTTGATATGAGTGATTTTTTGCATTTATTTCTTACTCTTGTTTACTCTATTAGAGTTGTCCCAATTTTTCTCCCTTTGCCCTCCTCCACCCAGCCCATTCCCCTCTCCCACAATCAATTCCCACACTGTTGTCCATGTCCATGGGTCATTACTGTTTACGATAGTACAGTTGTCCCGCTTTTTCTCTGTTTGCCCACCTCTATCCAGCCCTACTGAAACTTCAATATTTTGGGTAGTATGCTATGAGACTCTGGATCTTTAAACTTTCTGTTTTGACTAGCTTCCTCTGACACTGCTCTGGCTGGAGACTAGGCTGGTGGGGAGGGGATACCACCTCATTATCACTAGATGGTTATAGAAGTTCTGATTCACCATTTGGCCTCTGTTGACAACCAAGGGGCAGGGACTCTGTTACTCCTGGGTGAGGCTGGGAGTTCTGGTTCCCCATTAAGCCTCCACTGATACCTCTCTAACTGGGATTGGAAAATGTACCTTACTGCTGCTCCCTCTGTGGTTTCCTCCATTGACACTATGGGAGCAAGAGGTGCCCTCATTACCACTGGGCAGTGATGAAAGTCCTCATTTTCTACTAAGTATCCTCTGACACCACCCTAGATGGGAAGGTGAAGGATGCATCATCATTGCCAGGTTGAGGTGGAAGTCCAGGCTCCCCTGTTACTGCTATGGTATATAAAATTACTGACAGCAAGGACATAAAAATGCCTGACTCATGTGTTCATTCATGATGCTGTTCTGATTTTTAGGAGGCAGGAAACAGTGTCAACGATGATAAGCTAGTAATGCTCAGGATGTGTGTTGGGAAAGGCTGGAGTTTTCCTTAACGGAGACAGTCCTTCTGTGGGTTGGACAGCCTGGGCTTGGGTTTCTAGAAGTGATTTGACAAGCATTTCTTCTGGAGAATGACTAGGACCTATGAACCTGGTGGTAGGGACAGAAAACTCAAGGATGTGATCTCTGCCCTTGAAGAACCTAGTATGTACTAGATATACACAGATGTACAATGAATGATATGTATACTTTCTCATAGTAACCAAGAGGTCCCACCAACCCCTTTATCTGTTACTATCCCTTTCCTTCCTTTCCCTCCCTGCCTTCCATCCTTCACTCACTCACTGAAACTTATACCAAGCATTTTATTTCATGTCAACCTTTGTGCAAAGCACTGGGAACACAAAGACCAGTACAAAAAATGGCTTCCATAATCAGTCATTACTCTTGAGAAGCTAATACTTACTACTTCCTCTGGCAGAAAAGTCTTCTCCCTTTCCCACAAAACCAAAATCCTCTTCTACTTAAATTTTCTTCTCAAATCTTTGCAAATAAAGGCTATGTGCTTATAGCCAACCCAATTATTACACTTATTCCCTTTCTTTCAGGTATTTTATGAACTCTAAATATTTTGGTCTTCTATTTATAGATTCTATAAGCTCCCTGTTACAATGAAATGACTTTTCATGGGGTTATGTATTAACAGGATTATTATGGGATTATGTAATTTATGCTCTGTTTCTCTTCAAAGACTAGTAAATGCTACTATTGTTGAGTCATACCTGGAAATCTTGGTCTCCACAATCTTATATGTTTCAGATTGGACCTCAAACAGTTTTACCTTGTAAATAGGCACATACTTTATCTATAAATAAATGAGTTTGACTTTTAACTACTAACCTGTCCTGGCTGGCATACTCTGCCACTGGTCTGAGTCAACAAAGTATGTGATTTTGCATTATACATGTATAATTAGCCACTCAAAGTCTCTCCCCAAGTGGCACACAGATAACCATAAGAACATTAATTCCCTAAGTCAAAGGTACAAGCATGCAAATACCTGAGGGAAGGCTGTGGAAGAGTGTCTGGACTGGCTGGTACCTGGACTCCCTTTTCCCATTCTTCTTTCCATGTATCCGTAAAGAGGTAATAGCTGTCAGGATTAATGTGGTGAGAATCTGAAAGTTTCATGGCACTGATGAGGTCCTTCCGGAATACCTAGGAAGACATTGCACAAATCATGAGGAACTAAAACCATTTAATGTTATTTTAAAAGGACCATGCCCACCGACTCTATACCAACAATACAAAGATGCAAGGAAAATAAGACCAGCCACACTAAAAGGAAAAGAAATCAACAGAGACAAGAGGGAAGGGGGGGCGGGGAAAAGGAAGGGAAAGGGAAAGTCAAGGAACATATAGCAAGGACTCATGGACAAAACCAAAGGGGAAGAGCTGAGGGAGGGAGGGAAGGAGGGGGGGCAAGGGAAAGTGGTGGGGGGGTAGGCAGAGACAAATGTATTTGAAAAAATAAATTAAAATAAAATTTAAAAAAAAGATAGACATTTCTAACTTCTTAAATGACCGTATCAGCTCCTATCTGGAAGGGATTTAAGTATTGACAGAGAAACCAGCTTATTTTTCATTTAATAAAGAGTAAAGAGGTCTCTTCTGAATTATTTTCTTGGGCTTCCTGAATGTAAATTAGTAATACAGGTTACTCTTAAACAGTTTGTATAAAAACAAACAATCCTTAACTCTTCAAATTACGCAGCAAGTATCCTCTGATAACTTACAACTGTTTAATTTTAGACTTACAGAAAAGTTACAGAAATAGTAGTGAGCTCCCATATACCCTTCACATAGTTTCCTCTCATGTTAACATTGTACATAACCAGTATACAGTTACCTAAACCAGAAAATTAACATTGCTATAATACTATTAATTAATCTTCAGACTTTATTAAAATTTTACTAATTTCCCCATTAATGTCCTTCTGTTCCAGAATTCAATCCAGGATCCCACATTGCAATTAATGGTCACATTTCCTCAGCGTCCTCTAATTTGTGCGAGTTTCTCAGAATTTCCAGACCTTGACACTTTTGAAGAATACTGGTCATGCATTTGATAGACTGTCCCTATAATTGGGGTTTGTGTGATATTTCCTCATGATTACATTAATATTACTCATGTTTTTTGGAAAGAGTACACAGAAATGATGCCATGCCCTTCTCATTCCATTTTATCAGGGATATATGATACCAACGTCTTATTAGTGGTGATGTGGATCAACTGGTTAAGGTAGGGTCTTGCTGTTTTTTTTCACTGTTAGGTTACTATCTTTCCCTTTGTAATTAATAAATAGCTTAGAGGAGATACTTTGAGATTATAAAAACATCCTGTTTCTTCTTAAACTGCCATGGGCTAATTTTAGTATCCACTGGTAGATATCAGCCCTGCATTTATTAATTTGAATTCCTCTGTAATGAAGATCTGTCCTCCTCGCCCCAGTTTATTTATCTACTGTAATATTTGTATAATGGGATAAAAGAGAATCATAGACATATCCATTTAACATGTTTTGCACAGAGCTCAGGGTTCTGGGTGGCTAGTCCAAAAAATGGAATTGCCATTTTGCTGAACACTGTGATCCATTTCTATAAATTACTTGAGTACCTTTAATGAGCCAGTGGTTAAGTAGCTGTGACAATTTACAATCGTGCCAAACTATTGTCTTTGGGAAAGACAGTGGTGTCGGAAACCCCACTTTAGACCTGTAAAGAATACTAAAGCCAAGTATTTTTCAACCTCCTAAAATATTTTATTATTTTCTATGTGATACACTTAATAATATAGATCGATTGTAAAATCATGCTTTGGGCTTAATAATGCCACAGCATGTAATCACACAGCATAAGCCATGTCTTCATATTTGATACAACTGCTTATGAAAATCTGTCCTGTAGAGTTTCCTAAATAACCTGGAAATATATTGTAGTGGGTTTAATGGTGGCCCTCCAAAAGATATGTCTACATTCTAATTTCTGGAACCTGCAAATGGATCTTTGCAGATGTAAATAAGTTAAGGATTTCTAAGATGAAGAGATCATCCTCGAATATCTGGGTGGGCCCGAAATCCAATGACAGGTATCTTTACAAGAGAAAGGCAGAGGGAGAGTTGAGACGGAAGAGGAGGAGGCAGTATGATCATGGATGATCTTGAGTGCAGCCTGGATGATTTTGGACTTCTGTCCCCAAGAACTGTGAAAAATAATTTTCTTGTTGTTTTAAGCCCCCCAGTTTATGGTAATTTGTTACAGTAGCCCTAGGAAACTAATACAAAAAATTACCAAACATAAGAGTAACTTGAAGATCCTAGACAAAGAGGTATAAAAGCAGAGGCCAATGAAATCTGGCCCTCTGTCCATGGCTCCAGAAATACCAAACCTCTAGGAACAGGCAACTCTGTGAAGTCTGGGAAACCTCGGACTGTGGGAACACCAATCAACTCAAACCTATTTTTCTTAAGCAAATGATAACTAAATCCAACGATTATTATAATTTTCCCTTCTACATTTAGAGAAAAAAAGATTTATATGATAAGCCTGATTTCAGTTTTATAAGCTAGCCAGATTAAATAGCATCAGATCTAAGGTTTCTAGAGAAGCATTTTTACTCAAGGCAGAATGCAAGAGTCTGCCTTATCTTACTACAGAAGGCAAACATCTCAAGCATGATGCAGAACATAAAATGTTAAAGAGGGGATAGGAATGTTAAATTCAGTATTCAGGCAGATATCTGCAAAGTGATATGAAATATACAGTGGGGAAAAGTAGGTTTACAGTTGCTTGTATGGAAAATAATACAATGACTAATAAATAATAATATAAGAATAAACTCTGTTTTGCATACTCACAACTGTAAACCTACTTTTGTCACACCCTGTATTTACCAGACTGGTCTCATGAGTCTGCTTCTGATTAAGAAAAGATATTTTTAGGTTTATAAAATGAATATAGACTAATAAAATAGCTATAGTGATGCTGGGTAGAGGTGTGAGTTTTATGCACACATAGTGGCACACACATACACACATATTTGTGTATTATTTTCATAAAGAAACTGTAAAAGGATAAACTTAAAACTTTTTTTAAAAAAGTTAATTCTGGGGAGAAGGAAAATAGGGAGGAGAGGCAAAAGCTAATTTCTCTGAATGTATTTTGTTCTACTGTTTGATATTTGAACCATGCAGATGTTTTAATATAGTTAAAAATGAATTAAAAATCTTTATTAAAGAATGGAAAATAGGTCCTGGGACAGACTACCTCAATTCATCTACTGGTCTCACCACTTAATAGTTTGGGGCAGGTTATTGAAATTCTCTGTTTATTTATCTGTAAAATGGGGATAATAATCACAATTACCTCAGAGGGGTTGTTGTTGAAGATTAAGTGTGTGAACTTACATAAATGGCTTGGCATGGTACTGGGCTGTGGTAAGTGCTAAATAAATTCAAACTGTAGTTACTTTATCATCATCATAGCCTCAGCTTTTCAACTAAAATCAGAAAAAGAGAATATAGCTGAGTTCTCCTATCTAGCCCATAAAGTAAATGTTGATGGAATACAGGAGGTGTGAGTTCATGGCTCACTCACACATGTGTGGCTTGGCTCCCGAAGACAGGGTTCCCAAGCAAGAGTTCTATCAAGAGCCTCAGTCAACATTCTATAGGGCATAAGGTAATGCAGAAACTTCACGAAATAAAACATGGCCATTTGTTACTAAATTAAAGATTATGAATGATGGATACAGATATTTACATTGACCTAGGAATGAAGTTGAGAAGTTTTACACGCTCTCAATTGTGTGTCTATTTTATATGCACTGGTAGTTTCCCCAAAAGTTCCTGAAACAAAAACACTTTATACTTACCAGAGATCTGCTCATTTATGGTCAAAGAGGGGATTCACAGGCTAACATACAGCCCAGAAGCTATGCCAAGTCCAACAGTGCATGCACATCTTGGCCTCTCAGATGCTTACAGAAACAAAGGAGGCCTCACTATGAATTCAATTAGGACATCAATGCTCAACCTGTTAGAGCCACAAAATGAAAATGCCCTTCATGGACAGCTCTGGCTTTTACTGCTCTCATTAACATCTCTCTCTCAGTGGGCAGTTTCTTAAAGCACAGCTAGTCTGAACATTTCTGTGACATTTTTAAGAGGAAAAGCCAAACATTTACTTCCTGTATGACAAAAAGGGGAACACTGTCTGGTCCATGTGAATGAAGCAGAAAGAGATTGCTCAGTTTTGATTCACAGTCACTTAAATCTGAAACTATACCTAACTCACCACGAACAGATGTGTCATCCCCAAAGCACAAAGAAAAAAAAAAACACCAGCTGCAAACATGGTAACTATATTTAACTAAAGAGAGTTAACTGTAAGCGATTTTCTTAGAATTATACAATCTTAAGGCAAGATAAGATTTTTGGGTTATCTGGAAGAACCATTTACTTAGAGTGGAGAAAACCTAGAAAAGAATACAAACTTGTTCTTATATAAGAAAGGTACCCAGTATTGTTAAGACACTGTTGCACACTGGTTTCTCCAATTAAGCAAAGCTAATGTAATTTCTAAGTTTAAAACTTTAAAAATCATGTAAATATTTTTCATGGAAATAATTTTCCAGTAGTTTAAAATAATCAAGTTTCTTATAAAAAATAAATGGCACATTTTTGATGGCTATGGGCTGACATTAACTGGAGCATCAATTGCCATAAAACAATGTACCTTGGGGCTGCTTAAGTAGGTTTGATTATTACTTTTACCCCATGCCAAACAGAGGTGTATGCAGCCTGGTAATGGAGAGGCAGCAGTAATTGAGTCTGACTTGGAGATCTGGACAGTTTTCACACAAGAGATGGCACATGAAGTTTGCTTTGCAAGTTTTCCCCCTATCCCTCAATGTCCCTTTTCGCACAATAAGTGTGCGTTTGCAAGCTTAGGGCTTTTTATCTGCTGTCGGGCCAGAAAACAAAATAATCAAACTTGTTAGAAATGCAGATAAAGTGATGTAAACAGGCTCTATTTGAGGCTAATGTAGTGTTCTCTGCTGAGTTAAGACATATGAGCTTTCACTCTGTTGCTATGAAAGTCTTGGGCATAATAAACGAGATTCCAGGCCTATAGATGATATATGCATTCAATCCTTCAAGATAGGTTGATATGTTTTATAGACCAGTCTGATGAATAGGTGAAAATATCCTGGCTTCTGAGAAAGAATGAAAGATTTTTTAATAAATTCAAATTGCTCATCTAGTACTATGTGTGTTTTAATGGGCAATTGGCTTTTTAAAAACATTTTTAAAAGCATGGGCCCTTTTGAGAACCAGATGAAGACTACTGGCTCAAAAAATATAGATAAAAACATATCCTTAAAGTCTGCATACAATTTTCAGAAGCTCCTGAACCTTACATGGGATTCACACACCCCTAGAAAAACTCTTCTCTAGAAGATAAATCAGGGGGAGGCATGTACAGGAATCTCACATAAAGCACTAAACAATATGTATCTATAAATATAGCCAGTTAAGACCCATCAAAAATGATCATTTATATTGCATTTCAATATCTAACTCCAGGTAAAATGATAGGGTTTCATCTTGGACCTGTAGAGGGTCAGAAAGAAGAAACTCCTATCCTTACAAGAAGAAAAAGGCAGGGCAGGGAGCAAATCAACTTTTTTTGTGAACCCTTTAAAGAAATGAGTCACAGGACAAATGGCCAACTCAAAGAGAGATAGGTATGCCTGCAGAGAGACACGAGACAGGAGCATTTGCTTACCTGGGGCAGAAGCCACAGTAGGAACATTAAACTAGAAATTCTGATTACTTGCTGGGGCTAAATGGGGACTACTATGAGAGTATGATGTTCCTGAAGGCTGTACTCATAGGGGATTCCCACCTTCTTGTAAGCTTCTTCTCTAGCCATCCAATTCAGCTCTCAGAGAAGATGGAGAAAACTGGTGCTGCCTGGGCTCCTGGTATTCAATGTTCTTGCTCCTTTACTGAACAAAAGGCTTCATCTTCAGGGGAAGGATATCAAATGAGTGCACTGGTATAATTTCATTAGTGCTAGGGGAAAGGAAGAGCACCCAGCCTCAGCCTCCCTGTGTTATCTAAGGGGGAAGACTTAACCCACAGGAGGAAGAACTTCAAGGACAGACTGAGAACACCAGAAAATACCTGCTGCAGGTCGACAGGGGAAAATAGGGCAGGGGCAAAAAAGCCCTATCCCTTATGTTCACCGCCCCCATCCCACCCCCAGACTCAGAACCACTATGCCATCCACAGACGAAGACGTAATCAGAATATTAGAGAACATCCTTCTCCCATGCTCTACACCACCATGCTAATGCCTCCAGTGATAATAAGAGTGGTTAACAGCCAGGAGAGCTGCAGAAGACAATCTTTCTGAGGACAAGCACAAAGGGAAGACTCTAAGCCAAGATTGCTAGAGGAATTAAAAGTCTCTGGTGCCCACAGCAATAACAAATTTCAAACACCCTCATATACTGCTTGAGAGAGTGTAAACTGATGAAGCCTCTTTGGAAAAAAAATCTGGCATTCCCTCATATGGTTAATCAGTTACCATATGACTCAGTTACCATATTCCACACCTAGGTGTATACTCAGAACAATGGAAAACAGATGCTCGCATAAAATCTTGTACATGAATGTTCATAGCTGTTGCTATGAATTCAAAGTAGCATTATTCATAATTCTCTAAAAATGGAGATAACCCAATTGTTCATAACTAATGAATAGACAAAATGTGATATATCCATACAGTGGAATATCATTCAGTCATAAAAAGATGAGGTACTGATACATGCAAAAACATGAATGAATCTTGAAAATGTTATGCTAAGTGAAAGAAGCCAAACACAAAAAACTGTATATTGTGATTCCATTAATATGAAATATCCAGAATAGGCAAATCCATAGAGACAGAAATTAGATTAGTGGCTGGCAGGGGCTGGGAGTAGGAGGATTGGGGAATAATGGCTAATGGGTAAGGGGATTTCCTTCTAGGGTGATAAAAAGATTCTACATTTACACTGTGGTAATGGTTATGCAACTCTGTGAATATACTAAAACCTACTGAATTATACACTTTAAATGGATAAATTGTATAGTGTGAGAATTACATTTCAAAAGAGATTTTTCAAATGTTTTATTTAAAAAGAGTGATTGTCACGGTGCCAGTGGGTATCACCCAAGAGGTCTTGACATCCACTTCCACCCTGTAATAATAAGGGGTCCCTCCTATTCAATGTGTTATCAGCGGAGACTGGATAGAGAGCCTGGACTGTAACTATAGCCCATGTGTAATGTCCTATCCCTTACAGCCACCACTCCCCCTGCTATCAGGGAGGCAACAAGGTGAGTATTTCCACCTGCATCAAGTAGTAAAGAAGGTAGTATCCCCTCCTCCTTCTCAGAGAGATAACAAAACTATCTTCCTGGAGAGACAACAGAACTAGGATGGGAAGCCTAAGAATTCTGCACCCGGTGGTAAAGAGTCAGTGCCCCCCTTTCCCCACTGGTCTGGGTATTATGGGTGTCTGACAAAACGGATTTAAATAAGACTCAGTGTCTGATGACGTAATACCAGAAATGTCTAGAATACAGCAGAAAATCACTCATCATACTACAAACTGGGAATAAGAAGAGACCATAGACGCTAACATCAAGATAACACAGATGTTAGAATTACCTGGCAAGGATTTTAAAGTATCCATCATAAAAATGCTTCAACAAGAAATTACAAACACTCTTTTGAAATGAATAATTTGAAAGTTTCAGCAAAGATATAGAGGATATAAAGAATAGCCAAATGAAAAATCTGAAATGGAATAATACAATAGCTGAAATAAACTCAGGGATAGGCTCAATAGAAGAATGGAATTAACAGTGTAACAAAGAAGAGAACAAGAAAAATTCCCCGATCTGATCAACAGAAAGGAGAGAGAGAGAGAGAGAGAGACAGAGAGAGACAGAGACAGACACACACACACACACACACACACACACACACACACACACACGAAGAGCCTGACGGACCTGTGGGAAAATAACAAAAGAGCTAACATTCATGAAATTTAAGTCTCAAGAAAAGGAGGAGAAAGAAGACAGAAATGAAAAAATAGCTGAAGAAATAATGTCCAGCCTCACCAGGAGTGACACATTCTTCTTGGGCTGGCAATGCTCTGAAGGCCATGAGGACCCATCACAGCCCCAATCTCCAACCTGGTCCTTCCTTCTCCATCCACAACCTCCTTATCTATCCCTTCCTGCACTGCCTCCCACATACCAACTTAGCTTTTTACAATCATAGGCCAGGTCTTTGGGTCCTTCCCAATTCCCTAAGTCTGGCTCCCTTTGACGTTTTGGCTAAGGAAGGCTTTACATTCTAAAGCCAGGCATTTAAGAATAATTGCCAAAATGAAATCACAGTGTAAAGATTACTGTTTTCCCAAAGGGAAAAGAAAATGGAATCTTCCTTGGAAAACAAAATAAAAACTCATCAGAAAGCAAGTCTATCCATTGGTACATAGTTTACTCCTTGCATCTCCAAGATCTGAATATTGTAGGTATGTAAGGGAGAAGGCAGCTGTGTGTTTTTTAAAGTCTAAAAATTGGAATATCTGATCTCACCTCAGCAGATTTCTTGTGTTCATTTGGAATTTTTGACTTGTTCCTATACATTGAGCCACAAGTAAGAGAAGTGGAAGGACCTGCAAAAGATAATTAGAAAAAAATACTGAGACTTATTACCTGCTATTATAACTAAATGTTATATATCTAAATGCCATCCAAGAGAATATGAAAGATATGATGGAGAAGAGCACAGTGATCTCATACACAACACTGAAGAAAGTTAAATTACAACCAAGAAAGTATCATAATGGAGTTTAAAAACATTTACCGGTAGCCTTTTAGTGTGCAAAACCTTCAACAAAGCTAATGCTGAGGAGATTTGATTTGATGTAATCATACCTCATAACATTTTGGAATAACATGATTCATGTTCCACCTGGAGAAAAAGTATCCACAAAAGCTAAAAATGTAGAACAAGTAATCTGTATATATCCTTCAGCACACCCCCAAATGCTATTGTTAAGAAGATTGTTGCCTTTTACAAATGATGACTCAGCCAGTCAAACACTTAGTACCTGAGCTACAATTAGAATTGCAGGGCCTAAAGTTTATGCTCTCATACTTTACCTTCTTTCTAAAAAAGCACTGTTAAATCATTATTAGATTTGACATTTGTTGTTTAGGTAAGTGAAAAGTGAAAAACAACTGCTATATGCCATACAAAACCAATTCTCCCACCTAACTTATCAATTTCCAATGAAATTTAAATGAATAAGAAAAATGATACCCCAAGCTTTCTTCCTGAAAACATTATTTTTAACCATGGAAGGAAGCATGAAACAGCTTGTCCTCAAGTCAAAGAATAAATCCTCAAGGAGTATAGATACAGATGTTACCAGCTATTGGCTGGTTCTACTCACTCTCATCTGAACTGTCACTGCTGCTGAGAGTTCTATGGCGTTTCATTGTGTAGCATCCTGGGAAAGAGAACAACACTGAATGAAACAGTCAACACACACACACACACACACACACACACACACACACACACACACAAGCACGCACGCACGCACGCGCACACACACACACCCACATCCCAGAGAATAGTCAATACTTTCCTAAAGATCCCAAGAAACAACAGCAGGCCAATCACACAAGTCAAATGATTTCTGTAGAGAATATTCTCAAGTGATCTAGAGTGATAGAAGACTACTACCAAATTCTCCAATATAGGGTTTATCATAAACTGGGTGAGGCTACGTGTTTGCCTTAGGAGGAAGTCCACACAGGAGACGATGAATAGTACAGGACTGGCTGGAGCCTCAGATGTGGCCACATGACCAATGTCCACCCAAACGAAGAGGGCAGCCATGGGGCCCTCACCAGCCAGGGAGGAGCAGAAAAGGAAAAAGTAACTGTAAAGGCAGAACTGTCAAGGATCAAGGTTGAAAGGCATGAGACACAGTTGGCTGGAGAAAGAACAAGTGAGGCATGTCCCACCTTGAAGAGCACAACCACACTGCTTTTCTGCCTGCCTTTCTCACTTTATCTCTGTCTCCATCCCCAAAACAACTAGCCAAATTTAAAATTACATCTATATATACACTGCAAGGGATGTTACAGAAAGCTCCTATATTGTTAAAATATGTAATACTTTTGACTAAAACTTTAAATGGTTCAAGTGTCCTTCCTTGTGTGTGTGTGTAGCCAACAAATGATTAAAAAAGGCCCCACCTTTCTGGAAACACTCCAGCACCAGAGTGTAGGAAAAAAGGAAGATAGATAGTTCAAGTCAAAAAGGAAGTGCTCAAAATATAAGCTAGAAAAGACAGTGGGACAGTCAGTAACTGACATTCTATCATGTGCCACAGTATACAAAATGCTACTATAAACAATCATGATTCCACAAGGGAGAAAGGTCATGGCTACTGCCTTCAAGCCACTCATTATCTACTAAAGAGACAGAATTCCAAGTACAAGGCCACTGTGAGCAATTAGGAGTAAAAGAAACAAAACTGCATGCTAAAAATCTAATAGAGTTCCATTCCTGGTATGATAATGTGAAGAGCTATATGGACCCACTTCCCCAGTGAATATGGTGAAAATTATTTTAAAAAGAAACAAAAACCACTCATTTAAAATCTCTGAGAATGGTCTGAAGGGCTTACAGCAAACAAAGAAGCATTTATCAAAGGAAATCTACTAAAACTCCATAAGTCAAGTAAGAGCCTATATAGTATTTGGGCCCAGACTCACTCCTTGTATCCCCCTCCCAGCACAAATGTCAGCTCTTTAGCTGCAAGGCTTTCTTCCCGGGAGGGGCAGGACGTCAGCATTTCTCATCCTGTCTGCAGCTATCTGTTGCTGAGGCTAAGTTCCAGAAAAGTGTAGCTGAGAAGTGGCGGCTCCCTTCTTCCACCAGGCGTCCCCTACTCCTGGGATGGAGGCTATGCTTTGGGTATGGTACTACCAAGAACACTGATGCCCCAAATTCCTTGGCCCCAGCTCTTAGAATGGGGGTTCTACATCAGCAGAGGTAAACCTAGGAGAGCCGGAGGTTCTATTCAGAGAAAAGACCCCACCCTCTGTCCTAGACTGTGGCTCAGAGATTTAGCCTAGTGGGATAAGCAGGCCATAGAATAGAGGGCTCCAAATCTTCCCCCAGTGGAAATAATTCCATTTGCAACAAAGTGTGGAAAAGTTCTTCACACCTAGGTAGGCTACCATGCTGAAGAGAATCAGGGAAGTAGACAGCTGGGAGAAATCATTCTGGGTTCAGAAGAAATCTCAAATACTGATCTTGGGAACTATCCCTTTAAAGGAACCCTAATTTGATTGGATCAGTTTGTGAAGCAATTCATGCTTCCAGGGCATCATTAAAAACAACAGAGCAATGAGCCAGCAATTAGTGGAAACTTGACAAAATCACTATCATCCCAGGGTGACTGTGAGCATACCAATGGCTGAACCCCTAAGAAGCAACATGAAGACTTCATACTGTAAGGAAAAATCAGGGAGTAAATAGACTTCAATAAAATAATCCAGATAGTCATTAAGGTAAAGAAGGAAATAACAATGAAGAGCGTGAGGTGGGGGTGCCAGTACCCAGAGTTACTACATTATATTATCTAAAACCTTCAGTTTACAACAAAAAAAATTAGACATGAAATAGGAAAGTATGACCTATATACACTAGCCAAAATGCAACTGACAGAAACTCCTTGTGAGAACAACCAGATGTCAGATTTAATAGACAAAGACTTCAAGTTAGCCACGTAAACATGTTCACAGAACTAAAGAAAACCAAGATTAAAGAAGTAAAGGAGGCCCTGACCAAGTAGCTCAGTTGGATAGAGGGCCATCCCTATATGCCAAAGTTGTGGGTTTGATCCCTGGTCAGGGCACATACAAGAATCAATCAATGAATGCATAAATAAGTGGAACAACAAATTGATGTCTCTCTCAGAAAAAAAAAAAAGTAAAGGGAGATAAGCATACCAATAAAGAGACAGAAAGTATTAAAAATAACCAAATGGTAGCTCTGGTACTGAAATGTATAATACCTAAAATTAAAAATTTAATAAAGGGGTTCAACAGTAGATCTGAACTGGCAGAAGAAAGAATTAGTAATCTTGAAGTAGATCAATATAGATTATGTAAGCAAAAAACAGAGGAAAAAGATGAAGAAAGATGAACAAAGTTTCACAGAAATGTGAGATACCATTAAGTGCACCAACATACAGGAAATGGGAGTACCAGAAGGAAATGAGGGAAAAAAGCAGAAAAAATAATGGCTGGGAGATTCCCAAATTCACTGAAAAACATTGATTTGCACATCCAGGAAGCCTGACAAATTCCAAGAAATTTATACTACTAACACCACCACTACTACTTGCAAAGAGATCCACATATACATTATGATAAAACTGCTGAAAGCCAGAGAAGGAGAAAATGTTGAAAGCAGCCAGGGTAAAATGACTCCTTACTTATAATGGAACCCCAATAAAATTAACAGCTAACTTCTCATCAGAAACAATGGAAGTCAGAAGGCAATGAGATAAGATATTCAAAGTACTCTGTAGTAATGTTTGCACACAGTGAATATATTAAGAGTCATGGAATTGTATGCTTTAAATGGGTGAAATGTACGGTATGTACATTATATCTCAATAAAACTATTTTAAAAACTAATAGGATTAGCCCAAGTATCGAAAACATTAACCAAATGTCTATTTGTCCTACTGTTAAAAGTCAATCATATATGGAGGGAGTAAACACAGTCAAATATATGGTGAAAGGAGATTTGACACTGCGTGGTAAACACACAATACAATATACAGAATTGTACATTTGAAACATATAATTTTATTAACCATTATCACCCCAATAAATTTAATAAAGAACAAAAACATAAAAAAAGATAACTGAAACAGGAAAAAACTGAGATATAATTGACATATGACACTATATAGGTTTTAGGTATACAATGTAATAATTCAATAGTTGTATATACTGCAAAATGAAGTATATTTCCTTAAATAAAATGTTAACCTCCCAACATATAAATTCTGGGGGCTACATCTGGCTCCTTGGTGCAAAACATAAGACATTCAAACACTCTTCTGAATTGTAAACAAAAACAGTAACAAAAGACTTATCAAAAAGTAATATGCAATTTAAAATCACAATGAATGTAGAAATTTAAACAAAAATAAAAGATGTATTTCCTAATTATTTCTTATTGAATGCACAAATCTACCTAGAGTAGAGCTTCGTTTGTCTGATATTGTTGGAATACTATATATATGTAAGCTTTCCAGATACATGGTGTGCCCAAATACCTAAAATCCTGTTATCAATGGGAGCTTTTCTAAAATACCTATTTACTAGTATTGTTGTGTAACAAATTACCATAAACTCAGTAGCTTAGAACTACACAAATTTATTATCTTACATTTCAGTGCGTCAGAAGTCTGATATAGGTACTACTGGGCTAAAATTAAGAAGAGAATCCATTTTCTTGCCTGTCCATTTTCTAGAGGCCACTCACATTCCTTGGATCCTAACCATCATCCTCAACCTTCAAAGGCAGCAACACTGTATCTTTCTGACCCCACTTCTATCATCACATCTCATTCTCTGATCCTTCTCCTTCCCTTCTTCCAGTTTTAAGGATGACTGTGATTACATAAGGCTCACCTGGATAATCCAAGATAGTGCCCCCATTTTGAAGTCAGCTGATTAGAAACCCTAATTCTCCCTTGCCATGTAACCTAACATATTCACAGGTTCCAGGGATTAGGGTACAGACATCTTTGGGGGCCCATTATTCTACCTGTCACAACATAACATATTTTTTCATTATTAAAAGAGAGTATACTCCCACATAAATATGCCAACAGATTTTTGACAAAGGTAGAAAAGTAAATCAATGGAGGAAAGATAGCCTTTTCAGCAAATAGTACTAGCTCTAGTACTATTAGTACAGTTAATAAAAAAATGAACCTCAACCCAAGTTTCACACCTTATACAAAAGTTACCTCAAAATGGATCATGAGCCCTAACTGGTGTGGTTCAGTCGATTGAGCACCAGCCCGCAAACCAAAGGGTTGCCAGTTCGATTCCCAGTGCAGAGCACATGCCTCGGTTGCAGGTCATGTCCCCAGTAGGGGGTGCGTGAGATGCAACCACACATTGACATTTTCCCCCCTCCTTCTTCCTCCCTTCCCTTCTCTAAAAATAAAATAAATAAAATCTTAAAAATATGGATCATGGCCTTAAATGTAAAACTATAACACTTTTAAAAAACGAAGGAGAAAATCTTCAGGATCTAGGGCTAAGCAAGAAGTTCTTAAGCTTGACATGAAAACCATGATCTATCAAAGAAAAATTCACCTTCATCAAAATGAAAAACATGCTCTGCAATAGGTTCTCTTAAGATATTTTTATGTGGTGAAGGGCAGGGGTGGGGCGAGGA